TGTTGCACTAAAAGAGAAAACTAGCAGTTAATTTACTTTTCTTTGGGTTAAATAAAAAGAATGAACAGTATTAAATCTTTTAAAATCATATGATAATCTGACTGACCATAATATTAGGTCAAAATAACATGTTACAAAACTCAAAACGAATATTTTACATATCATATAACGCATTAAATTGGGTAGATATATAAATCACTGATATTAAAATTCATATTTCTTCTGTATTGTATTAAATGATTTTTTAGAGAAATTTTTTTGTTTCAAATTAGATGATGTTTTAAATTTTTAAAGTAAAATTAATTATATTTTTGTTGTTTTTGACTTTTTAAATTCTGTAAATTAGTTTTTTATTGGTTAAATTATATTGGAATTGGTGGTTTTATATTAAAAAATAAAAAATTAAATAACTTTTTAATTTATGTGTAAAAATTTTAAAAATTATTTAAAATGATGTACTACCGTGGAAAAACAAGAAACTCAAATATCTGATTAAAAAAATGTAAAGATAGGATCGAATATTAAATTTAATAATACAATTCATAACTTATCTAAAAATTCTAAATACAGTGCACCTTTAGATATTTTCAACGGACCCACCCCAAGGGCAAAACGGTAAATTAGGAAATTGGGATGTTTCTCAAAATTGTCGTTTTGTTGAAACACGCGCCTAGTCGTTTTGCATATAAGAGAAAGTGCTACGAAGCAAAAACAAGAAAACACAGAACCACCTACAACAATTGATAAATTGTACTTTGACCCCAAAACTTTTAAAAAAACTTTCATTCACACCCTCGTTTAGTTCTGTTAAAATGTGCGGAGGAGCCGTAATTTCCGATTACATAGCACCGTCGTGGTCCGATCATGGGAAGAACGTGAGAGCTGGGAAGTCTTCCTGGAATCGGAACGGCGTCGTTGAATTGACGACGATCCACGATTTCGAGGGATATTCCGATGAATTCGAGCCGGAGAAATATCAAACCGGCGGATTTTCTACGGTGAAGCCGTCGATCTCCTCCGCGACTCGCAAACCTGCAGGTGAGAGTTATACCTCGGATTCGAATATTTCGTTCTTTGAGTGTTTGATTTTTAGGATACGAACTCTAAAATCGAAATTTTTGTTATTAGGCTCAAATCGG